TTATAATTGGGGTCTGGTTCCTATATTCAAGTTCCCAATTGACAAATTTGGCTCTAGAACCAACTCTTTCCGCACCATTTGACAGAATCAGGACCTTATTTTAACCCTTGTTTTATTTCTATTTGTTTTATTTACCTTTAAGTGTGGGCAGCTGTTAGCTATGGCAAACAAAGATATGTCTGTTATGAATGTGCCACCAATATTCAGATGTTGTAGAGAGGCAGCTCTGGAAATCTATTGCCACAAAAAAAAACAGATGAATAAACCCAGCCAGGAACAGGAAAGCTTCATACTAAGAGCCCATCTGGTAACGAAAACGAAACCGGCTGACCAAAAGTTACTTGTTTGGTGGAAATGTTGGCTGACATGATTGATAAGCCGAAAAACGGATTACCAAACGGCTCTAAATGAAACAACAACAAAAGCAGGGACAAAAGATATACTCCATATCCTTACCAGTTGAACAACACCTTCATCTGTGATCCCTGTCGTCCCCCACAGAGACACAGAACACAGTTTGCCAATACAATTCGCCATAGACAATTGATGCAGTCCATGATCTGTTATTTGGCACCCCCACCGGCTTCTTGAGCTGATTGAACCATAAATCAGGTGAACTACTTCAACAATTTCACATAAAAGAGTCATCAGAGTAATTTAAATTTACATGTCCAGGTCCTTAAGGCTGTAAGCATGGAGAACAAGGCGAGTTGAGGAATCATCGTCCACTTTCCAGCCGGAAAAACTCAATCTTTCTCTCCTGGCCAACGATTCTTTCACTCCCTGCCTCCATTTCCGGCTCACGCTGCTCGCCCTGCAAATCCAGTCGGGTAAGTTAAACAGAGGCCGCCAGGGAGATTAAGGAAGGAAATTAAAAAAAGAGAAAGCTTACTGAGCTAAATCCTTGAAGCAGGTGAGAAGAGCTAATATATGAGCCAATAGGTCGACGGGGAGGCGATCAATCTCCGTCTCTTCTTTCCCTTCCTCTGCTCTTCTCTTCATGGTTCTTCTCTGGACAAAAGATTATGTTTTTTTCTTCTTCAGAAATGGCGCAAAAGAGTTAAAGAAGAAGAGAGAGAAATTTGGGGAGGGGGAAAGTGTTGTCATATACTCCTCATGTTAGAGACATTACTTTGTGCTAATATAAAAAAGTCCAAAACGAAGGAGGTTACTTTTGGTACCTTAATTGCAAGTTGCAACTGCTTACACGGGCTAAATTTAAAGTTACCGTATGACTTTACACGAATAAAGTAAAAATTGTGTGGTTGAAATTTATGCAGAGGAGAGAGAATTAACTTTAGTCACATATTTCTTACTTTAAATGGAAATGGTAAATCTTTTTAGGACATCTAAAAAAGAAAATTTGGCAAAACTTTTCGGGACGGAGGGAGTATATACGGTAGATTATCAAAATGATGCAATGGAGGGACAGAGGGAGTATATACGGTATATATGGTACCCTTATCAGAATGATGCAATGGATTTTTTTTAAATCCAAATTAAAAATTATATAATGATTTGGACCAATCCAGTGAATGGTAGGTACGATACCTCATTTTTAAATCATTTTTTGAAGTTGACTACGTTTTTATATGTATATTTTGACGCAGTCAACTTCAAAAAATGATTTGAATGCCTTCCCGATCGAATTTTGAGCTGAAATTGGTATGGACAAATTAGACTTGATGAGGAACATGCTCAAAAAAATTCATCAAAAAATTCCACCGGGAAGGACCCCAAATGGGGATGTTCGGACGGTGTTCGAACCAGGAATGTTCGGACCTGAACATTCCTCTCTCTCTCTCTCTCTCTCTCTCTCTATATATATATATATATATATATATATATATATATATATATATATATATATATATAAGGGAAAAAGCTTATATTAGAATCATAGGAACCATTACATCAATCATGACACCAGACCAACGACTCCCAGTAGACCCACAATCCCAAAATCCCAACGGCCCCCTCACATCATGTCCAGACATAGAATAGTCCACCCTAAAAAGAGTGAGACTAATCGCTGAGACGATGAGAGCTATGAAGCTATTAGCGTCTAAAACAGTCTGATTGCCTCCATCAACATAATTCCTACTCAAAGGAAAAACACCCACTACTCCCACTCCCTTATTGTAAGTAAAAATGACAAAACAACAAGCAATTGAGTTCGGAAAAATAGAAACAAAACAGCAATAGTAAAGGTTCACATGATGGAGTTTGAAAACTTCCATCCCTTGTGCAGCTCCCGACGCATCTTCTAGATGCCTGACAGGCGGGCATTGAAGCCCGCCCCTTCCCGTTTTTTGGTGAGCCCGTCTCCATGTCCATATCATTTTGTGCAATCTTCTGAGTCTCGTGATCTACCCGTCTACGCTTTTGATCCACTTTAACTCCATTATAAACAAGGTCCAATCCATGTTGTTGTTTTCCCTCTGCATTCGAGCTTGCCATCCCTGTTCCCCCCCTCCTCTTCTTTTCCTTTACCTTTGCCAATTGGGACTAGCCACTTGTTGCCTCCCGCAACTGTATTTCCTTTTGAAGCTCTCAACTCAGGTCCATAAGGGAATCCCCCACTTTTGCCTTTACCATCAGGGTAACGCGGGAAAAAAACGTTCTGCATGACAAATGACCCCACAAGCAAAGCAAAAACTAGGTAGTTTTTCATACTTGAACTTAACACAGAAATTTTCCCCTTCGTCAGATTGAAGAATAAGTTTCCTCTTCAAAGGACTATTCAAGTCAATATTAACCCTAATCCTCATATATGGGTTCCATTCAACAGAGAAGTTCTGCTCATCTACCTTAACAAAATTCCCTACCAAATTCCCAATTTTAGTAGCATTTTCCACAGAAAAGAAACCCATTGGCACATCATGAACCTGTAACTAGAAGTCAGCCCTATTTAACGGTACCTTCAGCAGCAAATCACCTTGCTTTAACCTAGCAAGCACAATAAGACTTTGATCGAAGGTCCATGGCCCTTCCTCCATAACACGGGTCATATCATTTTCATTGTAAAATTGGAACATGTACCTTCGTTCACCTATCTCAGTAATGGTCACGCCCCTAACAGGCTTCCAAACATTGGCTATAGTGTCACGAAAATAAGAGAAACGTACTGACTTTTCAGAAGTGATTGTTCCAACCAAAGTCATCCCTATCTCCTCAAGCCCTGGAGCTTTAGCCACCACATGTAGCACTTCACCCTCCTCTTCCATCTCCAATCTTTCGTACTCTTTCGTCAGCCTATTGATCTCCTTTAAATTATTGACATCAGCCATGGTACACTGCCTCTCTTTCGCTAAATCCATGAGAGAAGTAAACCGAAGCAGGCCACCTAATGTGTGAAGCCAAGCAATCCACCAAGCACGCGTACCAAAGCTACCCCCCAGCGAACACCCCTGTAACACCCCAGCACCTTCGAACAAGAAAATCGTGAAGAAGATAAAACCTATCCCTAGCGATTGCCTAGAAATCGCACGCTATTGATAGCGTTGACCTCAAAAGCTGTGGCCAGAAGAAGAAATCATTGAGCGATTCAGTTCGTCACCGACCCCTGATTGCGCAGACTCTAGCTGCAGCAAATCTTTATTCTCCTAATATAGACAATGTTAGCATATGTGTTGATCTTCTTACACACACACACGAATGTTCCTATCCGGCCAGGCTGGACAGGCCCCTGGTCCGGCCACCTCAATTTGAGGTGATTCCCGATAGTATTTTTTGCCCAATTTTTTTGTGTATGTTTATAATCAAATTTAGTTCATCCATACCAAATTTGAGCAAAAAAATCAATCGGGAAGGCCGTCAAATGATTTTTTCAAGTTAACTACGTTTTATATGTATATTCCGGACCAGTTAACTTGAAAAAATCATCTGACAACGTTCCCGATTGAATTTTTTGCTCAAATTTGGTATGGACGAACTAGACTTGATGAGGAAAATACACAAAAAATTTGGGCAAAAACTACCCCCCGGGAACCACCTCAAATTGAGGTGGCCGGACCAGGGGCCTGTCCGGACTGGCCGGACAGGAAGAGCTCTCTCTCTCTCTCTCTCTCTCTCTCTCTCTCTATATATATATATATATATATATATATATATATATAAATTAATATATTTTAAGTTTGTATGTGATCCTAAATCTATATGTGTGTATATATATATATATATATAAATATATATAAATTAATATATTTTAAGTTTAATTTGTGGAATTTAGTTGAAACTTGTTTAAGCTTAAGGTATTTGAAATGTTTTTCCTATATATGGAGTATTAAATTTCAAACACAAAGTTAATTTGTTAAAATACTTTTAATAATGTCACAATTGCAGCAAAAACATAAATTGGAGGCTTAATAGGCATATAAAAATACTACTTCTCCCTCCTTAAAATTTTGTCAAGTTTGACTAATACGGGGATTATTACAGTAAAAATTTTGTGGTTGAGCTTTGTGCAGAAGACATAGAATAAATTGTAGCCACAAAGTTTTTACTAAAAAGGGAAAAGTGACAAAATTAAAGGGACAACTAAAAAGTAAAAGTTGACACATTTTAAGGGACAGAAAGAGTATGAATTAGAAGCGTCTGATCTTAATTTAAAAGACCGTATTTCATATACTTACCAAAATTAGACCCACATAACAAATGAAAACAAAATCATATTGTAGAGTTTTTATTCGTCTCGAGCTCAGGTCTTCAACCTATCTCAATGGCTCACACGACACACACACACCTCTTGGCTAGACTACTCCACTACTCACCATGTTTACTCTCTCCAAAAAGATACCTCTCGCACAAAGGAAGTGAACAATGGAACCTCTCGCACAAAGGAAGGCAAGGAGGAAACTCTCTGTCTCACTCTTTGTTTCTCTTGCCTCACACACACACAGAAAGTGACGCGGGCAACATGGACAAAGAGGGTACAGACTCCAACAGACAAATTAGGGGGCCAAATCGGTGAGTAAACAGACAAGTAATAATTGGTCAAGGAAAAATAATCACGGGTGCAAGAAAAGTAGGAATAAACATATGACACAAGCTTAATAAATAAAGTGGAATGAAGGCTTTGATAGGACCAATACCTCCAACTTAACACATATCACATAAGATAAAAAATCACAAAGTTCAACAAAAAAAAAGTACGTTATTAAACCATGGTTGGATAGGAAGGCATCATGGCGAGTCCACAAAGTCCCTCCCGAGCCTTAATGCCTCTTTTCATTCTAAGAAAACCTTTTTCACCCCATTTACTTCCCCATGAATTCTTCACCAGCCAATACTTCGTGCCTTGCTTCGTTTTCCCGTACCCAACGATCGCCACACCGTGATCAAGCTCGGTCCCGCAGTGACCAGAGAGGACGCCTCTTTGGTAGAATTGGAACGCCCGGCCGCCTGCCTCAACCCCAACGGACACCGGTTGGTTAGCCACGGCCTTTAGCAATGCCAACTCGTTGTTAGCCGGGACGCGTTCGTAGCCCGCGATCTTGGCCGCAATGCGGGATTTTTTGAGCTTATTACAGGTCCCGTTTTTTGCTATATATGGGTAGTTGTGAGTGTCGGTGAGACCCTTGTTCTTGATGATGTACTCGAAAGCTCCGTCCATCAATCCTCCGCCGCAGCCCTGAGTGGCCTCGCCTTTGCTGCAACTAATTAGTTCTTGTTCAGAGAGTGATCTTAGCTTACCCGTTGAGATTTTCTGTATGCCCTCTACAGCCGCCACCGCGGAAAATGCCCAACAGCCCCCTGTAATAGGTACATAGTATAATTAACTAAAGAAACTTTCTACACTAAAAACATGTTAAAAATGCAAAAAGTAACCGTCTCCGCGGGACTGCCGCCACAACTATAAGAGCATCTCCAATGCTATAATGTTCACGGTGCACATGTGGCATGAGTGATAGCCACATAAATATTAGCAAATAAATTAATTCTCTCCTTATTTGAACGATTTTATACAATTTTGGTAAGTTTTTCCCTGCAATGTCAACAACAATGTTAACATCTAGACGGTCTCCTTGACAGTGTGGAGAAAAACTTACCAAAACTGTATAAAATCATTCAAAAAGGAGAGAAAGAATTTATTTACTAATATTTATGTGGCTATTTTTCATGCCACGTGTGCACCGTACACATTTTACCATTGGTGATGCTCTAAGTACCAGCCAGTCTACAACTACGGATTTAGGGGACACTTAATTAATCATATATTAAAAGTAAAATTAATTGTATTATAGTAGAAATATAATGTTTAGTTCTATTTTGAAAATATAAAACATGGACTTCTATTTAAGGAATAGATCAGAACTATGTAACTTTAATTAATACTTTCTCCACATAAATAAGTGTAATGAACAACTTTTCAAATTTGCGGGTACACAACGCCGACTTAATGGTCAAAGTTTTGTGTTGTCAAAAGAGAATTTCAAAGTGATGCGCCGATTTAGTAACTCATACTTTCTGCTTTTGAGCTTTATCCATGATTTTACATTGCGATTACTGGTGCGGATAATATATAACACGGTTGTTGCAATGAGTATTGTTGTTGCGGCGTGAAATATTTTCAAATTCCCACTAAATAAGAATATAATGTTTTTTTTGTATTCTTTAATTACTAATCTTCTATTAATAATGTTTAACATAATTTTTTTTATTTGAGCTAATGTTTGATAAAATTAGTAAATGTATTATGAATACTTATTTAAACTGCATTTTTATGTAAACAACGAATCAATCAATAAGAATATGTCAACTAAAATTGAATAGTGAGTAAAAAGATCTCAAAACTATATAATTATTATAAATACAATTTTAAAAAGCTATAAATTAAACAGATCAAAAAACTAAACAGTTATTACAGACATACTTAAATCAATTGGCATGATACTAAGTCTAAATATGTGACATTGTCACCACCTAAAAAAAAAATATTTACAAAAATTTGACTAAAGTTACTATGAGAACTTATGTTTAAAAATTGAACACATTTTAAATAAAGTTAATATTATTATCACTATACTTAAAAAGGTCACATTTTCTGAAAAAACCTTTATCTAAATCATAAATTTGTAAATATACAACAATTTTGTTCAATTTTCATATTTTAAATAATAATCCGTATCATGTTAAAAATATCCTGAGTTAAATTTGAACATCATTCAACAACAAAAGTCAACAATGCGAAGTTTTATATAGGACAGAGTAAACTTTTGACTATTTTACATCTTTATTAATGTAGGAGTAACGACGCAACTTCTACGTTGGTAAAGTAAATAGCGTAAAAATTTAGATACGCGTAAAAACGTGTCCCACTATGTTTGGGATAAGAGGGTGTGACACAACATTAAAAAATAGGATTGTGTGTTTGATATTGAATTGATAAAGTGTAAATAAAGTAAGAATGAATTATAATCACCCAAATATAATCAAATATGATATGTGACAAACTTAATGGGACGGACGAAAAAGGTAAAACGGTACAAACTTAGAGAAACAAAGGGATTAACATTTAAAAATAGCTAAAATTAGTGTTGCAATGTCGTTGCGGCCTTGTTGTAATTTCGTGACAGTTATATTTCAATTACCACCCCCCATTTCAAAATTTTACTACCATTGCAACTGGATGCGATTGTGGTGTGGCCTACAACCGCAATAATCAATGGACTTAACTTATAACCCATTTTTTTACATAGATAATTAGATATGAACATTTTCGCATTTATTTCATACTCTGTCTCATAAAATAAAATTCTTTCAACTTATCTTTTTGGGATGTTTTAAATAATTCTTCTCATTTTTCTTTTTAAAAATTTTGTCTGGATAACCTTCATTTACATTTATCTTACTCAATCATAACCACACATTTCTACTTTATTCCCATTTTCTTAAATTTTGATTCCAGTCAAATCAATAATAATTTTATGGGAAGGAGAGTATATTTTTTCATCGTATTGAGAATAAGATAGGTGGGTACAATACTTAATGAGTTATTGCCCTTAATCGGACCAAATTGTTGCTGAAACTCCCAAACAGGAGTAGGTGTATTTTTATTCTCTAAATAAGACGTTTCTTCCAAAATTACCTTTCTTCTAATTTTCTCAATCACGCACAGAAGCCCATTGCTCATCTTCTTCTTCGCTCACCTCTTCTCTGATCTGTTCACCATCTTTTTCGATCTACTATCATCTTTCATTCTTTTGATCCGCTCATCATCTCTTCGGATTGTGAGCTTTGAGCGGTGAACATCGAGCGGTGAGCGGCGACAATACATCCACTCATCATCTCCGGTTGCAAGCCCGCAACGACGAGCTAGCTCCGAGGTGCAAGTAGTAGCCACGACGATACATCCGCTCAACCTTCTCCTCCTCTTCTCTAGTTTTTTTCTCCCACCTCTTCTATTTCATTGTAGGTGCTAGTTGAAAATTTTAAGATTTCTTTGTTTGTTAAAAATGCCAGGTTTTACTCTGAAAATGTCATCAAAATGACTTTTTTACTCTTCATGAATTAGGTATTTTCCTTTGAAAATGTCATTAAGATGGAATTCTCGATTCATTTGGTACTCCCAAACAGGAGTAGGTGCAAATATTTACTCAGTACTAGGTTTTGCCGAGCTTCAAGGGCATTTCTGTCTAACAACAAATAATAACTCCTATTTGGGAAAATTTTAAACATTACTCATATTTTAGCAATTAATAATTATATTAAGGCAAGGAAAATTGTCCTAAATAGAACTAAAAACGTTTTTGTATTTCAAAATAAAATTATTATATTTTTATTTTCTAAATAGATGTCATCACTGTCATGTTTTGACAATAGCAAACTTTAAATTTGATAATAATTTTCAAGTTTGGTAGTAATTACTAATATTAATTAATCCGAAAAAGATGGAATATAGCTTAACATAATAACGCAGGGCGTACCGCATTTGCCTTGATCCTTGACGCTTGTAACAGCTCCTTTCCTCTTCCAGCTGAGACCCCGCGGAATCAAAGTGACATTTCTGTATCTAAAGGTTTTGTGGAGATCACCATCAGCATTCATAAGACTGTGACTAAGAAGACTACTTTTGTATCCATTGGTTCTAAGGGCTCGGAATTCGTCATTAGTTAAATCAGCAAAGCGATTGACGCCGAGCTTGAAAGTCCGGTTCTTGACCTTGTTGAAGGCTTGAATGAACTCCAGGTTCTCTTTGAATACTCCGAACCGGAGCTCCTTCTCCTCCTGGGTTTCATACACCCGCCCGTGCTCATTCATCCATTCCTCGTGTAGCTTCTGGGCTTCTAGCAGCGGCGGCGGGGCTGCGGCGGCTAGACAAGTAGTGATCGTCCCAACTACGGCGCAAAAGATGAGTACACAACTAAATTTCACTGCGCCCATTATATTAATTAGCAGAATGATCTGGTTTTGTGAGTGACAAGAGGTATATTTATAAAAAAGATGACCCCGACTCCAAAGTCTACAAATTAAAAGCTTTTATTATTAGTCTAGAAAGGGAAAAAAAACTCTAATAACAATAGGATCCAATCATCTTTTTAGAAAAACATACGGAGTACATAGTAGGAAAATACAAGTGGATGTTAACTTGCACCATTTTTGGAAATTAAAAATAAATATAAATAGTCATATTCTAAGAAAACATGTGAATTTTAATTTAGTAATAATGTTAGTGGTAATTACGGAGTAGCTCATAAAAAATCATGTAAAATGGATCCATGCGTTTTCAGTAGTAGCCTCAATTTTCACTTTAAATGGGTCTAGATTTCATCTGTTATTTTTTAGTTACAATTTCCATTTTCCATGTTTATAAATGTACAACTTTGATCATGTTTTTCATCAGTCTAATTTATCCACACAAAAATTCAGCTAAAAACTCAATCGGGAAGGTGGTCAAATAATTTTTTAAAGATAACTGCGCCAAAATATACATATAATACACAGTTAATTATTTTCCAAAATTTAGTTGACTGCATTCACGATTGAATTTTTACCCGAATTTTTGTGTGAATAAACTAGACTTTATGAGGAACATGCTTTAAATTTATAAATCATCAAAAAATTTCACCGTTAACTGCCTCAAACGATGACGGCCGATCATAGGATCCTATCCCTCCAATTGGACGTGATCTTTTCCGTATAACTAATATAAGTATATAACTATACTTCAATATACTTTTAACCCAAGCAAATACCGTCGTATAACATTTTCTGTTGTAGGTTCATGCAAATTAATATTTTACTTTTGGTTCCTGTAATATTTAAGTATTCTGTTACGTTGCTTTTCAAGTTTTTGTTTACGTCGTGAGCAAACTCTAGTTTTGTTGTGTGGAAACTAATAAATAGACTTAAATTGATATCACATCATTTGGATAGTGGCAGGGGCGGGTCTAGGAATCTGAGATTTTCTGGGCTAGAGAGCAACTATTCTAGACTTAAACATTAGAAGACTGGGCTGAATATGAAAAATTGAAAAAATTAAACTACAAAAATTGAAAAGAAGTTAAGTTGCACTGTGCTTCAGCCCACCATAGCCTGTACGTAAATCCTCCCCTGGATAGTGGATACAACGACAAAAAGACCACAGGTAACCGCCGATCCTCGAACCAGACTCAGCGTTTATCACTTCCAAAGAAGTAATATAACTCGCTGATCATTGACTGGGCGCAAATGAGTCAAAGACGGTTAAAGTGGACCACCCATCACCCATATCTAAATCCACAGTCTTAAACCGGAGCAAACTCTAGTTAAAAAAGAAAAGAGAAAATTCCTTAAATATTTGGGATTGAAATTAGACAAAATGTACAAATGGGTCATTATTATTATCTTTGAAATATGATTCATGCACTCATAATTGTGGAGGTTTATACTTTCAATGAGATCAAATAAGTGATACTCCCTTTGTCCCATTAGAAGGTTTCCATTTTCCTTTTATGGACGACGCATTAGAAGGTTCTCATTTCCATTTTAGGAAACAATTAACAATCTTAAGTGACAAATGAATCAATAAATATTACAAATATTACATTTATAACATCACAATTATTATTACTAATTACACTATAATATATGCCTATTAAAATTATTTCTCAAAATATACTCGAAGTACTTTATTTAATTCTCGCCTAAATAACCGTGCCATTTTGCTATGGGGACCTTCCAACGGGATGGGGGTAGTATTTTTTAGAAATAATACAATATAAATGCTCCTATTTATATGCTCCCTCCGGTTATTAATTAAACTTCTTGTTTGACTTCACACATATTAAGAAAATAAATTTTTTGAGAGATAAATTTTACTGTGGAGTACACTGTTTGATCCTGTTTTGCACTGTTTTGTGTAGATTTGTTTGACAAATAAGGAAATGTGAACTTGTTTGGGACATCCATAAAAATAAAGTGAGAATTCAAATACGGGAGAGAGAGAGTATGTACATTGTCCATGTTTTAATCCCGCTTTTAAAACAATTTCTTAAAGCAAACTGCATAGAAATAATTTTACTCATAATAAGTCATAACTAGGGGTGGGTTCGGTTCAAACGGTTTGGTTTTCACCTAAAACCAAATACCGAACCAAAGTAAAAGGTTCAGTTCGGTTTTATGTTCAAAAGTTTGAAACCATGGTTTGTTTGGTTCGATTTATTTCGGTTCGGTTTCGTTTTTTTTTTTGGTTTGTACCAGAGTATTTTTCTTGATTACAAAAAGTAATTGGTAAATAAAAAATAGACTACATCAAACTATAATTAATAGTAATACAATACAAAAACATAATTAAACAAAGAGAGAAGAAACAAATATAATGCATTTCCAAATAATGAATTAGAGAGTGTATATTATTAAACATTTTATAAATTAATTGAACACATAGCTTTATTTGCGAACTACATATAGTGTATCCACAAGTTAAAATTTTAATTGTAAATGTTGTGTGCACTAATTTGTTTTCTTTTTTACTAAAAGATTTTTATTGATAGCGAATAACTTATTTTACTTTCTTTTTAGACAAAGAGATTCATGCTCAAGAGTTTCATGTTTTTAACTATGTTGTTTAAAGTATAGTTTATATTAAAACACATTCAGTCAATATAAAAAATTACTCTGTATGTGATAACAAACACACATAACAAATAATGTATCAAGAAAATATCATTGTCATGCAACAACAAGCAAAATTTAAATTATGATTTAAAATATCAATATATTAGTATTATAGTAATAGACTCAATAAAACCATAAATATCAAATGTCAATATCTTGCAAATCATAGTAAATCTATTATCAAACATTAGTGTTCTAGAATTAAAAAATAAGAACTAAACAAGGTATTAATATATTATACTTAATGATTAATAAAAAAAATAAATATTTTCAAAAGTTCGGTTTGTTCGGTTGGGTTCGGTTTTGAGATGTGAAAACCAAAACCGAAACCAAACAACTATGGTTCGGTTAGGGTTTTTGAGTTCGATTTCGATTTTCTTGCAATTCGATTGTTTTGGTTGCGTTTTGGATTTTGTCGATTCGGTTTTCGTTTTTTCCGACCCACCCCTAATCATAACTTCTGACAATCTGACGGGTTGTTTTGACAGAGTATAAATTATTGGAGACTAGTAGAGATACTAGTATGAACTCTGAATAGACTATGGAGTGTGCTTTAGTGAATACGGAGTAGATGATTGTGTCTTAGTGAATTTTTTAATCGTAATTCTAATAAATGTACTTTTAGCATAAAAAAAACATTGACTAATATCGAATGCAATACTAAAACTTATTACTTCCATCCCAAAATATTTAGTCAAATCTTAAATTTTGGACTATAATTTTGATTAATACTCTCTCGATCCGTCCCACAAAATTTGGCCAAAGTTGACTTGCACGTAGATTAATAATGTAAAAATGATGTGGTTTATATTTGTACAGAGGAGACATAAATAACTTTAGTCACATATTCCTTAATTTAAATGAAAATGACAAAGTTTTTTGTGATGACTAAAAAAGAAAATATGGCCCAAGTTTTATGGGACAAAGGGACGATAACATAATGGATGTTATAAATTTTATACTTTTAAGAAAGTACTTTTAACAAAGAACACTTTCATATCATTTTATATTATAAATAATTTTGAATAAATATATATAGTTAGTCAAAATTTTAAAGATGACGAAATATTTTGGGACGAATATAGCATTATACAGAGTATTCGTATAGAAAATTAGTATAGATAATACAATACGGAGTATAATTTTTAATCATTGATGGCATTATTCGTTCAAAAAGAAGAAGACGAAATTCATACCAATAAATCAATAATCCATATTTTTTGCGGTTCTACAATAATAATCTCTACCGAAGATGTCTATATAAATAATACATACTCATAAACACGTCTACACAGATAGATTAGATTAATCTTTTTATATTTAATATATAAATTAAGATACAATATTGACTTTGTTGACCATTGTCATAAATTTGAGTTTAGTGTTTTTATATCATTACTATAATTATTTTCTTGAAGGATAATAATTCATCTATGAAGGTTTAATCTATCTATGTAGACACATTTAAGAGTTTGGATTATTTGTATTGAATCATCAAATACGAATTATTATGTCATGATTTGATCGTATAAAAGTAAGGTTGAAAATGTCGCAATTTTTTTCCTCAAAAATATTGGCCTCAAGAGTTCTGAATAGACTACAAAGTACAAACACCTCTAAAGGCATTCTTTACAATTTCAGAAACTCAAACACAAAAAGAATAGTGTCATAAACATGCATCCACTTCCACAGTTTCCACTCCCCTCTAAAACTCTTCCTAAACATAACCTCAGTAAAACCCCTTCTTATTTCCTATTCCACTTCAAAATGTTGCAAGTTTCCACTCCCCTCTAAAACTCTTCCCAAACATAACCTCAGTAAAACCCCTTCTTATTTCCTATTCCACTTCAAAATGTTGCAAAAATTTTGAATCGCCCAACTTTATCTCCTTTCCTTGGAGGAGTTGGAGCCTCGCCGGCACGCATGAACTTTTCTCCTATTTCCTCGTGCTGTAGCTGTTAAATGTACCAAAAGTATGTCCCAACGTACCACATAAGTTATACTCCATCCGTCCCTCTAACTTGACTCGCTTTTTATTTTTTTGTCTGTCTCATTAAATTTGTCTCGTACCGTATTTAATAATATTTGGGTAGTTATAATCCATTTTTACTTTGTTCACATTTTATCAATTCAATACGGAACACACAATTCCATTTTTTCTTAAAAATTGTGTCACACCCTCTTGTGTCACACCTTAGTACGGAGTAATTCTTAATTTTGATCCCAACCCATAGTAGTTTCTGACATTTTTTTCAATTTTCGTTTTACTCACACCAAATATTCTATACTCGATGGCAAATTTGAAACCGCGTCTTGAATAGATGGAGCTGGATCCCAATTGCAGCTGTTGCCCTTGAGTTATGGCTTTATTCCAGCAGCGAAGCCAGTGTTCTTTGACATGGAGAATGTGAAATTAAGCTCAAAATAATTTTTACAACTTTTCTTATGGTGGAGCTTATACGCAATTCAGAAAGAAAAGTTAATGGGCAATCAAGTCAACAAGTGAGAACGGTTGTTTTAAAAAGCTAAAACAGCTAGTACTTGGTATTAATAACATTCGTAATAAAAAGAGAAAATAATCGAAATGAGATTTAAAAGGTTTGCAAATTCCAGAATAGAACTGTCATGTTTGAATTCCCAGAATAGGACTAACTGTTGTCATGTTTTGGCGGTACAAGACTTCAAACATGGCAGTATTTTCCAAATTTTGCAGTAATTATTCCTATTTTGGGACTAAAAATATGACAGTCTTATTTTTGAATTTTCAAACTATTTAGGTCCTATTTCGGGAACTTTCCCAAATAAAAAGGATGACACCACATTCTTGAGATCCAAAATTGGAAGGAATTATCTAATTGAGATAATGTAATGAATTTAGTTTTGATCACAAATTAATGAAGAAATAGTGAGGTTTCAACTAAATCTTTATCTCGAAATGAAATCCCACACTCAAGACTCAAGAGTCAAGAGTACTTCCTCTATATTCTTTTACTACGTATTTGCTACACTTTTATTTTTGAGGTTTGTTTTGTTTGTTACACTTTCTCTTTTTGTTATTTTTCCCTTTAAAAATAAACACTTTCTCTTTTTGTTATATCTTTCATATTCTCTTTCATAATTTCTGCTCTCCCGTATTTTTGTGCTATTCATTACTCCTACGCTTTTCCCTTAAATATTGTGTCAAATCGCAAAGTAGCAAACAATAGAATAAGGATAGTGTGTTAATATTGTTTTCATGGATGTGATTCTCCGTTGAATAGTTGTGAAGGAATATGGACAATTTTTTGGAACAAACAAAAACGAAATTTTGATAAAAGAACTACGCGGATATATGACATCATTGAATGCTTATTTTTACTGTCCCCGAAAATTGATACCCCGTATTTCTTTTTTTTCATGCCCACTAGCAATTCACCCGTGCGATGCACGGTTTATAATTGTTTTTTCCAAATTTATCGCGGCAAGCAATCAAAAAGATGTAATTGTGTGACAACAAAATGCATGGTGTTGTAATAGTGATATAACTTCGAAACGAACACAAAGAATAATGATCCAAGAAATAAACGTAGGTCGGTACACATAAAATTATAATTACATATGGAGTACCAAGTATTGGTGAAACGGAGGGAAATAAAATTAACAAAGACAATAACATTACATAAACGTATATAATGCAATGCTACACGTTGTTGAACACTTTTTGAACACAAAATTCTGAGTCTTGTCTGTGGTCCCTTCATATTCATCACAAATTAAAATTTTCAATCCACGACGATTGGTAACCCTTAACACCGCAGCATGCAATTGTCCATGATTGAATACAGGTTTTTTCAACAACAATCCTACGCAAGACAAAGATTGGTCTTGACTTTTATTTATAGTCATCATAACATAGGAAGTCATAATAGGATATTGTCGTCTCTGAAACCTGAATGATAAGTTAGCATCAGAGGGGGTCAAGGACAATCTTGGAATTAGCACCTTTAGCCCGTCACTCACACCGGTTAAAATCTTTCCCTCTAGCATTGACGTGTAATATTAACTTATACTATGTACGGTTGAAAAAGAAATCCCAAATTCTTTTTAAAGATGTCAAAAAAAAGTTAAACATTTTATCTTAACCTCAAAAGCACAAAAACCATTACTTTTCGTTTGTTTTACACAAAGTAATGGCAAATTTTGTAAATTCATTTTGAACTCAAAAGTCACAAAACCCTCAATTTTTCGTTTGTTTTACACAAAATAATGGCATACGAAGTATTTGGTAAGTCAAAATGAAATTCTACATTAGGTAAATATGTACGCAGGTGAAATACGAAATTTATTTCAGGATGGAGGAAGGATATGAAGGTCACCAATTACTGCGTATGATTTTATGAAATGAATATCTATTCTAATCTAAAAGGAAAATAAAAGAGGGCCACAGTTCCCGCTCAAAAAGGTCGCTATCATTCTTTGTGGTTAATTACTCATTAAGGGTGAGGTTGGTTAGGTTTGAAAATGAAGGTTTCAGCATGGTTATCCAGATTCGTTGGATTTGCTACAGATTTTCAAAACTATATAAATTTTAAATATTAATTTTAATTTGTCTCACAGTGGAGTATGAGCTGGCGATGTGTGGGATGTGTGGTTATAGGGAGTTGAGTCACTGTTTGGATATCTTACAGATCTTCTGATGGCCCAAAAATGATTTTTCATTGGTCAATTTGGGGTAATGTGCTGGCACAAATCTCTTTTGGATTTCTCACGCAGCTGTTTACATTTTTATTGGCTGCTTTTTGGGTTATTAACAGTGTCTGTATTGGCACAAGTGGAAGACTTTGGGCGGGATGCTTCCATTGCAATTTTGAAATTCAAATTAAGTCAAACAGTGTTCCCCCCATTCCTCCAGCTATAAATACAGCAACAATTTTTCTCATTTCTCCACATCTCTTAGCAAACAATATAAACAATACATACAAGAATTCATTCTTAAAGATGGTTGGAATGTGGTCCCTATTTCGTGAGATTGATCAGACGAAAACCACATGGGCAGTCAAGGCTAGGGCAATAAGGGTGTATCGTGAACCTGCTCATGATTGTTTTCCAGAATCCTTGGAGGTTGTGTTCCATGATGAAGAGGTTTGGAATTCTGAAAATCATTATAATGTTTCTTTGCTTTACCATTTTAATAAAATCTGTATTGACATTTTCATATATTTCAGGGGTATAGGATGCATGCTCATATTCCGGACCAGTTCGTTAGCAAGTTCATTGGTATCTTCAAAGAGGGACGTTTGTTTGCAGTGAAAAACTTTATGGTGGAAGAGAACTACATGTTCTTTAAAACCTCAACAAGTGCCTATAGGCTTCGTTTTTTTAACAAAAGTGCTGCCTTTGAGATCAAGGGGGTTCCATTCCCCATAAGAACTTACTCACTGGTGTCTTTTGCTTCATTGCAAGCCCAGGACACCATTGATGAGAAATATGGAATCGGTAATTACCAATTTATGATATGTGATAACCCTAATATATAAAACATTACATGCTTAAGTAAAATGCACTAATGTACTCCTATGCTCTAGACATAATGGGTCAGGTAGTGCATGATAAAGACCCAAAAACCATTTTGAAGAATGATAGGCCCCGAAAATTAATGGAGATGGTTTTGGGAGACCCAGAGTGAGTTTTTCATTTGTTCACTTCTATCTTTAAAAAATTACTTGGTGTACTTTACAATTGAAATAATCTAAACACTTTGGGTAGAGGAAATGTGATTGCATGTACTCTTTGGGGACCGATGGTTGAGATGCTCATGACATACAAACAGACAACTTCGGATCCAATTGTGATGCTGCTGCAGTGTTGCAGAGCAAAGAAATACCAAGGTTGTCTTAACATCTATACAACTTTTGCTTATTGTATCACTGTATGCTCTATAATCTAACATAGATGTTATTTAGGTCATGTTCATGTGTCAAACATGTTCAACACCACCAAGGTCATTTTAAATGGAAGTGATGATGAATTTGTGGAGTTCAAGTCAAGGTAGAAACTATAATCTATAATCGTGATTCGTGACCAAGAAAAAACACATCTATCTCTAACATTTGCTATAAAAAAAATATAAAATCAGGATGGCTGAAAGGTCCAGTAATGGACTTAGGTTTTCAATTACTACGGACAACTCAGACGATGGTGACATAGCAACTGGCAAGCAAGATTTGATTACTATTGATGACCTGTTGAAGCTTGAGGAGGCAAGTGTATTGTAACTATAACTTGAAAGCAGTTATAGATAATATTTGACTCGACTTTTTTGGTTGATAAACAGGAAGGGAAGCATTGGGTTTACGGAGAGATAGTGGGTATTGACAACTACAAAGATTGGTCCTACATTTCATGTATCAGTTGTAACAGGAAGGTTTCCACTAACGGGGATGGCTTTTGGTGTTCCTCTTGCAATGCAAATGACGCTGTTCTTCGGTTAGTCATCTCACTCACAATTTTTTCAAGACTTATCCTGATTATTGCTAAAGACAAAAACTTTAACGAAATCAGGTTTAAGGTGAATGTGAGGGTAGTTGATTGCACAACACATGCCTCCTTTTTGCTGTGGGATAGGGAGGTCTCATGCTTACTGGGAAAGTCGGCCACCTCCCTTAAGGAACAAATAGCTAGGGTATGTGTTGGTACTATGTTCTATTTTCCTTAGTCTAATATGGGAGACTAACCTATAAATGTTTGCAGAGGAACTTCGGGCCGCATTACTTCCCTTCTGAGATAACCTCTCTCATTGATATAAAGGCTTTGTTTAAGGTGCATTTTAAAAGAGAGGGAAGGGGTTTCAAAGGAAATCAGACTTTCAGTGTTATAAAAATGAACACCGACCCTAAAGTGCTGGCACTTTACTCTTCAAAGATTAATGCTGTTGAGGTATACATTTTAATTTTTGTAACTCTGGGTATAAAGACACTATCCCCTTCATCTTTTACGGTCTATTCTTGCAGGAGGAAGATGAGTTCACTCGATTGGCTAATGAGTTTTCAGTTCCTCGGAATGGGGTAAATGGTCAAAATATTTAGTTGTATCAAAGCGGCTTATCTCGAAGTTATGTACTCAGGTTTTTTTTTAAATTTCAGGTTCAGTCATCACAGCAATCTGTGTCCAGCCCGCTGCTGTCCAAGGAGAAAAGGAGTGATTTGAAAGTGAATACTGAGAAACTGAAACGTGACCTATTTGGAGACTCCTCTACTTCAACATCTGGGAAAAAGCTCAAGGGGGTGAAAAAGGAATAAAGATAGTGCCTAGCCCTGTGTTGTGTGTGATTAAGTTATGTGTGACTATTATGTGTTACTGTGTAATGTGTGACTTTGTTAGATTTCCGGCTATGTACAATAAAGGCAACTTTGGCCACCTATTTTCTGCCCCTTCAGGGCCTGGTGTTGGCAAATGTTGGCCTCTTATCAATGGTTTTAGTCTAATAACTCAGGCATAACAATATGCTAATCATATGTACTGCTGATGCATCTATATAAGATATTATGTTTAGATATACCCATGGACTGTTATGCGCTGGACTTCTATGGGAAATACTTGTAGTTAGAGCCTGCTAGGGTGTGTGGCACGTGAGATTAAAAATACTCAAAGTAATACATGGTATAACTGCTAGACCCCAATAATATACATTTGATTGGAAGACAATATTTTCAGTTGAAGTATCCTGTTCTTTGGTAAAGTTGAGAATTGTGGCGCGATTCTCTATTTAACTTAAACTGCCGGATATGATTGTATATTTAATTTACATAATGGCACTTATTTGTGTTAAAAAATCCATGTGAAGAATAAGACTAAGGATGTTGATGACAAAAATTTGGAATTTTTTAAATAAGACACCAGAAATGAGCAATATTTCCAATGTTATTTGATGGTTTTTAACACAAAAGCCCACAGAATGAAAATGGTTTGAATAGAGTGTTTGTTAGTGTCTCTATGGAAGGGGAAACAATATTGATAACCTAATATACCATATATGACTAAGGTTAATGGCCAATTTTTTAAAACACCTATGTGAGGAATAGGAGTAAGGTTTTTCTTGAAAACTTTTTTTACACACATGTTACAGACACGATTTCCCCAAGTCAGTCTTCTGGGAATAAAATTTTAGAGAAAGAGTGTTTGAAAAACTGGGTTTGTGGGTAGTGTGTAATGCAGTGCAAATAATGACAATGTTCTATAACGAGATTCAAATGGAGGGTGTGAATGGAGTGGCGTACCTGTTGCCGTTTTTCGGAGTCAGGTGTCCTGCCCTAAATCTATTCTATGTCTACTTATTAGATTTACAGACCAATGATAAAATAGGAAAAAAAAATCCTGCACAAACAGATTTCATTAGCAACGAGCCTATTTCTGGGTGAAACCGAGGCAGTTCCGCGCAGTCCCCTGTTTGAATCATCACCAGAAATCATCAACAAGGAGAATTTTTCTGAGTGTGTGGTTCAACTGCCAAGTAATGAAAAGAATTTAAAGTGAATGTTTGTGTTTTAAATTTTGTATTACAAGTTATACAAGTTAAAAATGTCCAAGAAAATCCTTATTTATCACCCAACCTAGCAGATAGTGCCCCCCCTGATTTGCTGCCATATCCAAGGCAGGTAGTTCCACCAGGGCAGTGCTTTTAATTCCATTGGCTTTAAAATACAAAACCAAGTTGGCAATAATATTCACTGTCTAAGAGACCTTCCACTACAAATTAAAACCTATTACCACATTTTTTTTGTTAAAAAATCCATGTGAAGAATCAGACTAAGGATTTTTGTTAACTTTATCAACTGCCAGATATGATGGTATATTTACTTTACATAATGGCACTTATTTTTGTTAAAAAATCCATGTGAAGAATAAGACTAAGGATGTTGATGACAAAAATTTGGAATTTTTAAAGTAAAACACCGGAAATGAGCAATAATTCAAATGTTATTTGATAGTTTTTAACACAAAAGCCCACGTAATGAAAATGGTTTGAATAGAGTGTTTGTTGGTGTATCTGTGGAACGGGAAACAATATTGATAACCTAATATACCATATATGACTAAGGTTAATGGCCAGTTTTTAAAACACCTACGTGAGGAATATGACTAAGGTTTTTCTATTCAACTTTTTTTAAACACAAGTTACAGACATGATTTTCCCAAGTCAGTCTTCTGGGAATAAAATTTTTGTTCCCAAGTGATGAAAAGAATTTAAAGTGAATGTTTGTGTTTTAAATTTTGTATTACAAATTATACAAGTTAAAAATGTCCAGGAAAATCCTTATTTATTACCCAAGTACAGATGTGGAAGGACATGTTGAGAAAAAAAAATTTGGCGTCCAACAGATTCAGGGTTGGTTTGCAATAATAGAACACAAGCATTTCTCAACTTTTGTGTTACAAATCACTTATCTCACTAAATAACTCCGAAATTATTTTTTTGGCACAAAATCTTTTTCGGTTGTAAGTTTATGGAGGGTAGTTCAATAAAAAAAATTCAGTCACATTTAACATGCTTTCCTGTCGAAAGAGGAATTTGATTTTTAAATTGTGTGGTTAATTTTTATTTATGGCCAGAAGATATTTTGAAGACAGTGGGTACAAGATTTGTTCAGTTAGAATTGTGGACATATTTCGTCCACATCACACTAAATCTTTCAAATCTTATTTTAGGTCTGGGTTATCCGTCTCAGAGTGTGTTGTTAGTGTGTGATTGGTTCTCATTGAGTTAGTGGGTTTCATTATTAATTTTCACTGTTTATTGGTTAGATATTTGGTTTTCACCCCATGATAGCCATTCCATTTACCGTTCCATTTATAAGTAACTATTATAGTAAAAGCTTCACCATTGAAATACAGTCTTCTCTGCACTTGAGTGTGCTGCCTTTCTTCTTCGTTTGGTTCTTCCTCATCAGATAATTCAGTCCTGCATCAAAGTTGTGGAAACACAGGTTACAACCCACAGATCAACTCAATATTTCCAAAATTATTATATGCAGTTCCAAAGATTATGTATTTAAAAGTAAAATCCCAAGTCCTATATTTCGTAAATTGTTATATATTTTTCTCATAAATCAATTTACTGAAAAATTAATTTGTCTTTAGCAAGGAGAAAAGTACAGTGTATTTTAGGAGTAAAGATTTTATTTGTGAAGCCACTTCAAGATTTTTATGATGTTTCTAAACTTTCAAGTCACGTTGTGACTTTGGAATTTTTTGAGTCTTTTAGGTGGATTTGCTCAGTCCACTGCCATGTTCAAGGATTGTGAAATCTGTGGTCAGATTCGACTGTGTTGCAACATGTACGCGATTGGGGAGTCATGTAAAATCTGGTGGTGTGAAGTTTGTGATAACTTCTATGCTCTTGAGTTTCTGCGTGGAGGTATCCCGTGGGATCAGCTGCCTCCGGCAGTACTTTCACGCTTCTATGGAGCGCATGATCTCCGATGGTATATTGGAGACATGTTGGAAGCCTCTGGGGAGACCAATGGGGAGAGCTCCGGGGAGACTAATGGGGAGCCCTCTGGGCTTAATTACACTGTTGAGGGGAACGAGGTTGTTCTGAGGCGTTCTACACGCCCTATCCTACTCAACCGATTCTATTTTGGAGGGGACTTTGTTGTTGACTATGAATTTGGTTGGCTCAGTCGTGTTTAGTTATTTATTGTAATGTACTTTTTGGATATTGTGCACCTACGCTCTTATATATCTTAGCTCCTCTGATGTGCACCTATCATGTATTTAGTCCAAATTTAAATAAGGAAAGGCATTTCTGTCATAATGTCTTTTTTGGACAAATATTTTGTACTCTGGGATGTGCACCTATTATCTTAGCTCCTCTAATGTGCACCTATAATGTAATGTAGTATTTTATGATGAATGTTTTGCTTTGAAGTTAATCATAGATCTTGATCTTCTCATACTGACGCTAATATTAGATACAGGTAAGTGATGCCGGTTTGAGGACTTAGATTATGGTTAAGATAACTAAATCATGTGTGTTGGGATCCAAAAGATCCAACAGAGGTAAGTTCTTCCCAGTGTATAACCTTTTTTTTATTTAGGTTATTAATTAATGATAGTCACCTTTCAGCTACTGTCATCAACTTTTAAATTTAATTTTTTTTGTGGTGAGAGTGGGTTTCGGTTATGTGTTTGAAGACAACTGTCAGTGGATGATGTGGAGAAAATATCATGCTGTAAAAATATTTTTCAGACATAAGGTCTTCGGTTATAATGTTCTTTAGATTATTTGAAAAAAAATACATCAGAGTTTATTTTGGATTGGTTATTTACCTTTCCTTCATGTTTGCTGCCCTGTCCATAATCCTTGCTTCGAATGTCTTCTTGCAGATAATCCATTTCCTCCCATATGTTTGCAATAATTTTTGAGTGTTAATAAAGAATTTGTGGTTTTCATATTCTATACAAACATGTGAAATAATAGGAATGTGTTTCGTTACCTCCAAACTGTAACATTGACTCTGCTGTGTTATTCTCCTGTAAAGCAACAGATAAATAAATTCGTTTTTCATGTGGTCAGGTGCTAAAGAGAAAATAACAAATTATTTTAAATAATCTTAAACCATTAAGATAAGTACAAGAATACCTTTTGTATCTTTGTGTTGGTGTTTCTTGCTCCATTCAAATGCACTTCCGCTGTGGTGCAGGGATGGGTGTTCAGTGTACACCATTGTTTAGTAGGCTGGGCTTATTAAGTGATAACAAATAATATTAATAAGTGGTAGTTGTTACCTGGTGTCTGTGTGTTCCCTTCCGTGTTCCCAATCTCACAAAGTCATTTTTTACTCCCTAGAAGATTGCGGTAATGTGGATTAGATGGAAAATATGAGGTTAGTATATTTGCAGTATTACGAAAGGTATTTTAAAGGATCGGTTATTGTATAAAGCGTGTGTAGCGACTTTGGAATTTATGTCCCTTTGTATTGGTAAGGATGATCTTCCGAGTGGTGGAGGTTTGGTTATTATTCAAGGGCTGGGTTTATATTCATATATAAGGTTGTGGGTGGGAGCAATGTTTCATTCATGGCGGTGGGTGGGAGTTTGGTTTGTAGTTAATGCTATTGGTTGGGTGGGAGTAATAATTGTCTGTCTATAGTTTTATGATTTTATAATATAGGTTAAATTATGCCCGATGGATTTTATATCTATACATTTAAGTCGTCTGTAAAGCGGTGGGAGGCTCGATGTGTTAAAGAATGAGTAGGTGGGTAGTGGTTGTGTGTTTCGAGAATATTAAATGACGATGGTTGGGAAGTGGTTGGACTTTAAATGACTTGGGTATGTGTTTTTAATTTCAAATATGGAACGTGGGTGGGTCCAAGTCTGAAAAAACGTCATGGGTAATTGTTTTTTAATTTGAAAATAGAACGTGGGTGGGTCCATGTCTGAAAAAACGCAGAACTCCATTATTTTGTGTGTACTTTCTTACTGTGTCCAGATTCAGGCTATCAATAAATATTTGTTTATATTAATTTTTTGATACAAAAAATTTTTACACGTAATCTTTAAAACCATCCTAGACATTTCTGGATAATTCCAATGACTTAATTCTGAAAAATATTCTAAAACATCATTCCGCATTAATTTTTTTTTTTGAGAAATTAAATACTCCGGAGTGTGTTGTTGCCAATTGCCGACATAGGGGAGTATATATATTTAAAAAATAAAAACTTAAAAGTGTGTTTGGTATTACTGATAACAACATTAAATTTTTAAAATTTAATCACATATAATCCTGATACACAAATGGCGGTTCATTGATAGAAATGATTTTAAAATGAAATCTGTAAAGGCAACTCTCTGTTTGGTTAAAATTGTTTGCTTAATGTTAGCTAAAATTATCGGGTGTATTCCGGGTTATTTTTTGGACCGTGAAAAAATAATACAGAGACGTTCAGATTTTGCAGATCTCTGTTTTTCATTCTTCATAGTTTTCGGGCAAAATATTTTCCGTTTTTTTCTTTTCAAAATACAATTTCTTTAGTGCAAAATATTTCCGTCTTGGATTATTGTGTATCTCCGTTGAATAAGAAACTCAATAGGAACAAAAAAAATTTCATTTTTTTTGGGTAAAGATTCATGATAAATTTGTAGAGTTTTTTTTTAAATAAAATCGCCAGATTGTTGATGGATTCGTGATGTGTTGGTGCATGCAGAAGGTGTGGGTTGGGTTTTGTGGTTTTGTGTGTTTTAGAGTTAGTGAGTTTACCTGTGAGTCATTTGACGATTGGTGTTGTTCCCTCTCCGTCGGTGAAAGCTCCGGGCTTCCGGCGTTCACGCGGCGTTGCTCTGGATCTGTCCTTCACTTTGAGATGGATATCTGTCCTTCACAACATGGCTCGGCGGTATGCTATGGTGTTTTTTCTCAACCGGCCGGAGTTTTTTTGCTCAACTAAACGCGGATCTCCGTTTTGCTGGTGAGAGGGTTTGCCGATCTGTGAAGTTCGTTAGACAGGGGAGGGAGGGTTAGACGTGTGAGAGTGTCGGCGTAATTTTAGGGTGAAGTGGAAGGTTTGAAAGAATAAAAACCTGTGGTTAGACGTGTTATTGGGCCGTATTTGGGCTGAACTTATGTCCAGTACATGATCCAACGTCCGAAATGTTTTGGGCTCATTGTTTGGGCTTTTAATTCTGGTGGGTTGTTTGGGTTTGGCTGGACGAAACTTCCAACGTTTCTTTTTAATTGCAACAGTCAACTTTTTTGGTTTGACAGTGAATATTTTTCCTATTTTATTATTAAAAAATTTAAAAAGTTAATATTTTATAAAATTGTAATTGTAGAAATTTAACAATATTTGCTTGGTGTAAAAAAAACAATATTCGGCTATTTGGATTCATATTACATTTATCGGTAAAATAAAGTTAAAGTAGAATATGTAAATAGTATGAATAGTCCAATGTTTCAATTGAAAAATTGAAGAGGTAGTGTTTTTTTTTAATATTTCTTATAATTTTCCCTTTGAAGAGTACCCTACACTTTTTCTTCTTTTGATGGGAGATATTATTCTTTTTGTTATATTCAAAACAACTATGTAGTATTTATGGATTTTTTTAAATTAGTTTTTTGGATGCACATAAGTAATCTATGTTCTTTTGATACGTATGTAAAAATAATAATTTCCGATTAATGGTATAGGCACTTTGGACAGTGAGGTTGTTATGTCCCCGACCAAACAACACTGTTATCGTTCCATGTCTGGAACCTCCCACGTTGCTATTCCTTCCCCGAATTCAGGGCCGCTCCTAAGATTAACTTCTGCATCTCTTGATGTTGGTTGGTCTCTCATCAGCTATTTTTTAATTTGTATCCAGTTTCGCATCATATTGTGTTTGGGATTTCATCGATACCGTTTCGTATTAAGTTCATTTGACTTTCATTGTTAGGCTTTTTTTTTCCTCAAACGTCCGTGGAAGATATTTGTGCTTCGAGTTCACACCAGTCGCCTTTGTGTTCAGCACCCGAAGTTGCTCTTTCTTCCCTAAAATCAGGGCCGCTGCTAAGCTCAACTTCTGCCTATATCCATGACGGTTTGTCTCTCATGAACCGTTATTAATTTTGTATCCAATCTGGCATCACTTCTGTTTGGGTTTTCGTTGATAACGCAAAAAAGTTGAGTTCCTGTGACTTTCGTGGTTAGGCTTTGTTGGTCCACAAACATCAGTCGAAGATCTTCATGCTTCAAGTTCACACCCATTGCCTCTATCACCTGTTTTGGATTTTGATGTATCGTCTTTCACTGATAGTGATGCGGATGATGAGTATGTTGACTATGATGGACTTCCTGACCAAATAGCCGACAGACAGATTGGTGCGCTTATAGTGTCAACCATCGAATTTGCATGTGTGGTTTTGTGATTTATTTAACATTGTATTTTTTATTGTTATTTTTGTGCAGAGTATTGGGACATCGGTGACTCAATCTACTCATGTGAGTTCTGTAACGCTTTGTTTTGGTTCGAGGAGCGTGTTCTTTCAAACTCAAAGAAGAATCTTCCTAAATTCTCCCTTTGTTGTAGCCAACACAAGGTTGTGTTGCCTGCTATGAAAGAACCGCCGTTGTTGTTGGCTGGATTGATAGATGGTACTGATGAGCATAGTAGGCATTTCCTCGAAAACATCAGATCTTACAATAGTATGTTTTCCTTTACGTCCATGGGAGGTCGGGTTGAGGGAAATGTCAATAGAGGAAGATCTCCTCCGATATTTAAACTCCACGGCCAGAATTATCACTTAATGGGTAGTTTATTGCCCCCCCCTGGTGCGAAGCCCAAATTTGCACAATTGTATATCTATGACACCGAGAATGAAGTTCAGAATAGAGTTTCATCTGTCAGGTTTGAAGATTTTCAATTCGTTAAGTTTTAATTAGTGTATTGATATTTAACCCTAATTTCTCTATGATATTTAATCAGCGGCGGTGTTAATACGAGGAAATTGGACGAGGGGTTAGTGATCAGCCTGACCGAGATGCTCAATCAACATAATGTTCTGGTGAAGTCCTTTCGTCTTGCCAAAGAGAAATTTGACACAAACAGTGCCCCAAATGTGAAGCTAAAGCTTATAGGAAAGCGATATGGCGATGCTCGGACATACAATCTGCCGTCAGTGTCGGAGGTGGCAGCTTTGGTTGTCGGAGATTTTGATGAATCCTTGGGTGAAAGGGACATTTTGGTTCAAACTCAGTCTGGCGCGCTCCAGAGGATAAATGAGTTAAACCCGGCCTATTTTGGTCTGCAGTATCCGTTATTGTTTCCCTACGGTGAGGATGGTTATCGTGAGGATATTTTGTTATCTGCGTCCAGTGGGATAGTTGGTGCTGGAAGGAAAATGGTGAGTGTTAGGGAATTTCTTGCTTATCGTATACAAGAACGTTGTAGTTCTCATTCGACTCTTTTAAAGACCAAAAGACTTTTTCAACAATTTGTTGTTGACGGTTATACTTTGGTTGAGTCTGCTAGATTGAAATTTGTGAGGACGCATCAGACAAAGCTTCGTTGCGATATGTATAAGGGTTTGAGTGATGCTTTCTTGCGTGGTGAGCACGATTCACGCACACAGGGGAAGAGAATTGTGTTGCCTCCAACGTTTACTGGTGGGGCCCGTTATATGATACAAAATTATCAAGATGCTATGGCAATATGTCGGTGGGCGGGTTATCCAGATCTTTTTATTACATTTACATGTAACCCTAGGTGGCCAGAGATTGACCGTTTTCTCCACACGAGAAATCTGAAGCCAGAAGATCGCCCGGATGTTGTATCTCGGGTCTTCAAGATTAAGCTTGACGGTTTAATTCAAGATCTTAGGAAAGGAAATTCATTTGGCAGTGTGAGGGCAGGTAATACAATTGTGCAATTTTAAATGTTTTTTTTTAACAGATTTTCTCATAGTTTTGTTTTTCCTCAGTTGTGTATACTATCGAATTTCAGAAGCGTGGATTGCCTCATGCCCATATATTGTTGTGGTTGTCAGTTGAGGATAAGTTGCCTTCACCAGAAGATATTGATAGGGTTATATCGGCTGAGATTCCAGATGTCAACCGTGATCCGTTGTACTACGCCGCAGTTAGAGATTTTATGATGCATGGCCCCTGTGGTGCCGCTTTCAGGTCTGCCCCTTGCATGGTTGATGGGAAGTGTTCAAAGCACTTTCCCAAAAAGTGGTGTTCTGAAACATCCGTTGATGAGGACGGTTACCCTGTTTATAAACGTGTCCGTAACAGCCGTGTAATCCGTAAGAGTGGTGTGGATTTGGACAATAGGTATGTTGTTCCCCACAACAGATATTTGTTAATGAAATATGGTGCACATATGAATGTGGAGTGGTGTAACCAATCAAGGTCCATAAAGTATCTTTTCAAGTACATTAATAAGGGCCGTGATCGAGTAACAGCAGCTTTTTATAAGACCGTTGATGGTGATACTCAACAGCAGCCTGTTGATGAAATTC